AGGCATGAGCATTGTGTTCGATTTAAAAGTCACCAAAGGACGTTCGCTTGCGCAGATCCAACTTAATAAAGTCAAGGGACCGAGCGAGTGGAGACGAGCGTTACCTTGTCATTTATATTCCCTTGACTTTAGTCTAGGGTCTTGCAAAGTAGTTGTCTGTGTGTGCGCAAAATACGGAAAATGGCTGCCAGATATTCTATGGATCAGCGAATCACAAGAGAGAAAAGTAGAAAATAATTTTTTTTTTACACAACAGAGAAAATATTCAAAGAGATGTAATACTCAACAAGATGGATTGCGGATTAACAACTATTTCGCCTCTACTAGAGTTTAAGGACAGTGAAAAGCAGATGAAAACAGTAATCGATATTTTTGACTTTTGTGATCGGAAAAGAGGGTGAAAACGAAGCGGGCCAAACATATCTTTGATGCCATTTTGTTGAGCTCGACGAGTACTACAAATGAGAGAACAAGAAAAAAATACAAAAAAAAACACTTTTTGTGCTTGGAGGCCTGAAAGTTGGCTATGTTGAAAAAAGGGCCTTCAAAGATGGGCGTCGTACTCAAAGACGGAGATAGATATGGACATTATCCTTTTTCATTGGATTAAGCAGATTTTTAGCTTCATTTTTATCTATAGTGTAAAAACTTTTTGTTTTGTTTTGCCTTCAGGAGAGGTGCCTTTTTTTCATTTTCGGCCATTTTATGACAGCTGGTCTGCTCTTGTAAAAAAGTACTAGGGCAAATTTTGAGTATCAGCACTGATACTACTCAAGCTGGTCCTTCATATAGTATATTAAATGTCGAGGTTAACTCTATGGATGTAGAGAAAAACAAGGTCAAAGTTGCTTCATTGTAAGAGAGGCCGAAACTTGATATTCCTGAAAAGGTATATTGTAGAATATGACTTTTTTAATAAACAAATATGAAACTCTATGTAACTTTTTATGCTCTATACGAGCAGAGGCTTGAAAGTTTTGCGGCTAGTATTTCAGTATAAAGTGGGTGGACCTGAATGGAACTACCCATTATATTAGATTAGGAACCTTACAGAATAATCCTCTGAGGAACGCCGACCGAAGGAAGGCGTGAGCGTTGTTATGGATTCAATAGTGATGGAAGGTATAAGCAGATATAAGTTCCTAAAGTCAAAGGACCGAGCGAGCGCAGACGAGCGTTACCTTGTATCTTTAGTCTTGTGTATGCTGGAGTCCAGAGTTTCCAAAAAGAATTATGAGACGAATGATAGTTTATGGACTCGAATCAATAGAAGTCTGATCACATCAAGAATAATACTAAAGCATGAGAGTGACAATATCGAGTGAAAGATAAGACGAAATGTCTACTAGTAAAGAGTTAACACAGATCTGGACAGCCCTTTTGCTACAATAGAAGTAGATGTTCCTATAAAACAGTGAATTCTAATAATACAAATAAAAGAAAACGATCTGAAAGAAACGCAGGTAATTTTCAGAATATAAGTAATAATTTATTATAACAATTTTCCGATTCTAATAGATCACTAGAAGAGAATTCAGAAAACCCTTTTAGGTTTCTATGCGGTTTTCAGCTTCGTACGCCAGCATAAGGGGACTCCTTCAGTAGAAATTCATGATTTTCTTTAAAAAAACAAAATTGAGTTTATTGAATACGCTGACGTATCCTCTTTCAGAATCTGTGTCACTTTCGACCAAAAAATTAATTTTTGATGCGTTTTTGAGAGATCTTAGATTAAACCTTACGTCTACTGCTACAGTGATCTTCAAATTTGCTTAGCGGTTTTCTCAGAATATGGTTTTTTTGGCGCAGCCAAAATACTACTTCTAGACGCACAGTGAGTAATTTTGACTAGGCACGTGCACATGTGTCGTAAAAGTGATACAAAAGCCTCCAACTACTGTTTTTATAAGTTTCCATATGCGCTCTTTCCAATGGTGTGATTTACAAAGTTGAAAAAACACTTTTAGTCGGGTGTTCAGAGGCTGAATCTTTGGAAAACTCTGATAAAACTTGTAAATCACGCCATTGGAAACAGTGTATACGAAAATCTATACATATAGTGTTTAGAAACTTTCGTATCACTTTTACGGCACATGTGCACGTGCCTAGTCAAAATTGCTACGGGAATGCTGCAAATCTGCCATTTCATTAATCAAATAATTTTTTGCACATAAAAACATACAGCTGACATATCGTTCGCTGCGCTGATTCTAGATATATTATCAGTTTTTGATGAAAGTGCTTCTGGGATGAGAAAATTGGATTTTACCTGAAAACCTATAACTCAGTTCAAGATCATTCATGCTAATTTATGCTGTTTGAACAGCTGTATTGTGAAAAGAACATTCTATGAAAGTTTCAATCAGTTTGGAGCGTATCTGAAATAGTAGATCATGGCTCAACACAAATACCGCTACCTACTCTTTCAAAAACTTGTCGGATACACTATCTGGCAAACGGGTTTTCAGAACCCTTTTAGTACAGAAACGATGCCAATAGGTCTTGGCTACACACTAATGAAAACCGCAGATCTCTGTCTCTTTTTGTTCAAACCTTATTCAAAAAATGACCAGATGCATCATAATTTGGCGCTAATAATAGTATTATTCTATAAATGTTAACCATGTTATAATGACTGGTTTATTAGAGAGCTATTTATTTACATCATAACAGGTGTGCTATAAAAATCTCACAGCTTCATTTTAATAAGAAAATAGTGATAAAAGATCTTACTCTCATGATGCATTTAGCATACATCATATTGAAGTTAGTAACCCAATGGATTTCAATGATTATTAATTTAGAACACAAGGAAATAACGTCAGCATGTATAAATCAGGCATCATTTTTTATTTAATTCATACTTAACTAAATCTTTTTTGTGTAATAAGAAATGTATTTAGTGGAAGAAAGGTGAATATATATATATATATATATATATATATAGATAGAGGAGCATATGAAGAGGAAAAGAAGACATTGTTGAAATAAAAAATATGTTTGCGGCACGTATACAAAAACTTAAACATAAAGAAAAAATCTCTTTTCTTTTGAAAAAATATCAGCAGAAAAAAGAATAGTACACTAAAATGAAAAAAGAAACATCGTCATTCTAAGAAAAATCTTAGAATTCATTAAATTTCTTACTATACACATAATATATGAACAATACTACTTTCTATAAAATAAACGCACGCTGAGCGAACATATATATACGATATACAAATAAAGAGACAGACAAATAAGCAACAACATAGACAATGTCTTCTATTATAAATTTAATGATTAACAGCTACATAACCTCTTGTATGTTTCATTAAGACGCCATACAAAATTAAACCAAATAAAACGGCTCCAGCACATGCTAATGATATGATAGACATTCGGAAAACTTTTTCAACTTTCTCAGAAGGATAATTCGATGATGAACAACCTTTTTGATGAATACTCTCAACATTTTTTGGATCACAATCTTTCGTTTTGCAACATGAAGCTGGTAATGAACCAACTTGGAAGTCAGTATAATTATTCCTACCACAACAGTTATACTGTGCATTCAAATCATCAACTCTTTTTTTTTGTGCATCAGAGTTGTTGGCATACATTTTGTTTGAATAGTCAATATCCTCATCAATACCACGTTGCAAACGATTTGTTTTAACCAAAGTCATTGACCAAGCCCCAATGACAGCTAATGCACTAAATAGTAAAAATACTAATACTAATGTAACCAGACGAAGGTTTTCATTATCATTTAATGCACCAATAACACCAACTATCAGAGTAATCAGAAGTAAACCACCAATGGTAATAAGTGCAATGGATGCAGCATATAAAGAGAATTGACCGAAATCATATGGCACATTAATGTATCTCAACAAGGTTATTGCACCCAAAACAACGGATGCGATACTACTACCAAATAATAACACGCCAAAAATACCTAAAAAGTTCATAACAGCAGTAAAAGGATGTTAATGTACGCACTTCAAAATCGATCTACGTAGAGAAAACGAGCCTTCTAATGTCAGGTGACAAAGCCAGAGCTATAGATGATATTCAAGAGATAGATGTGATATCTATTGATTGATCGTGATCATTTGACATCGTGTTTTTGGGAGTCCTGAATACTCGATTTCTAAAATTTTTGCATACGTATGTACTACTTGTTACTCAAATAAGATAAAAAATACGATTAGGTTGAACATTTTTTTATAAAAACGAATTAGCAATTAATTCTTTCCCTAAAGTTTTGTAGGACTAACGTCTAAAACTGAAAGGTGTCTTAAACATCTCCTGTCTTTACTGCTTGACTTAAGAGCAAAATTTTATATCTGCTGTTTAAGGAAAATATTTAAAACAAACTTTTTTGTACTTACCCAATAAGCCCTTTGACGGGCCACCTAAGTCACTAGCCATGATGTCTTCTTATTGTCGTTAAATTCAGTTTATTCACAAACTTTTGAGTTTTCTCTATTTTTCTTTTATACTTATGTTCATAAAAGAGAAAAGACTTTTTATAATCTATAATATTAAAAAAATTCTAAAAAACTCTTTTTATTCTTCATTCTTCATGTCGTTTTTCTTAAAATGTCCAGTTCAATGCACTGACGGGGAAAAAGAAGATTTTGTCATTCTACCTTCAAGTGAAAAAGAAACTCTCACGGCTTTTTTTTTGTTCTGTAAAGGATGGATAAAGAACAACACCTTTCATCCGGATAAATGGATATATATGCCATACAATCTATAGGCAGGATTGCTGTGTGTAAGGAGAGATGAAATTAAAGAAAAAAAAGAGAAAATGATAAAAGTTTAAAACAATTTTCTCTTCCTTGTTCTCTCTATTTTTGTCTGACCGCAAATATTATATCGGCCGTCTATAGTGTTCATGGTTGTTCAAAATAGTAGAATGACTAAATTAATGTCCAGTAGTTGTGTTGACTATTGTTAAAATATAAAAAGATACGCGACAGACATAAATAAAGAAAACGAAGAGAGAAAAGAAGTCATTCTTGGGGACCATGAAGCCTTGTTGTTTATTGTTGATGTTAAACATATAAAAATTCAATAGATAAGCAATCGAAGAATAATAAGCATGCTACAAAGTGTTAATACTCTGACTATTTTCAACATGAAGTTAAGTGAAGTTAATTACAAATATGTGAACCATCATTTAACTGATGATACACGCTGTATCAACCACATTTTGGACAAATTATTCTCATTGACAGAACTTGATTCTCTCACGAAAACTTTTTTAGATCATAATATCTTGATAGCTGCAAAAACTCAGAGAGAAGACCTACCCTAATGTTAAAGTAGGTGTCAAAATTACTACCTGACATTATTTGACAGAATATGAGTAGAATTACCATTAGAATTCTAGAATGAAGACAACACGTGTTAGATTTGTCCTTCTAACTATGTTCTTTCAAAGTTTATTTGACTGATCTCTCAATACATAGAAAAAGAGAACTATATATACAACAAACATTTTACACAAGTTGAACAACAGCATGAGTGTAGATGAGCACAATTAACATTTTAAAAATAATCTCAATAAATGTTTCCTCTAGAGATTCCATTTTGAGCTAATGAAAGTCAACTTCAATTTTGAATTATTCCCTTTCACAATACGTGATCATATTAATTAATATTAATTCACAATTTTGATCTTAACATACTAATCAAACCATTACAAAACTGAAAAATAAGTCATAGAAAATAAACGTGCAGTTTTCGAAGAGCGCTTATTCGCTTGATGAACCAATTTTATTTTACTTTAGAACGCTTTAGTTGTTGGCGTGTGTGACTGTTGACATATTTCCGCCCACTTTTTATGATACGTCTTTCCATATCATCGGATCGAAAAATTTTAACAGCTTGTTCGATCAAAACCGAATGCACATTCGTCTTCCCCATGGTCGATTATCAGGTACGCGATAACTTTTGGATCGGGGTACTTCAGAAAAAAATTTTCTCATGATTTTGCTCAAAACTTTTTCAAAAACTTACTGTATGGAACGGAACCAAAGGCAAAACGATGTCGAAAATTTTCTCTAAAGTGCCCGATCCAAAAGTTTTCGTCTTCTCCATGGAGCGTACCAGATAATCGATCATGGAGAAGACGAATCTGTAGTCGGTTCTGATCGAACAAGCTTTTAAAATTTTTCGATCTGGTGATATGCACTCATTGTTAATTTAATGTGATAAACTCATAAATATACTACATATTAGCTGCTTCCGAGCCAACAAGAATACAATGGTCGAGATCATCTTATTTTGGATTTTTGTAGAGTGTTGTTGTTCCCATGTACCGGTTTCGAGAAAGCACGTTCGACATTTGAAGACTGAAGATCCCATAAATAAAATGAATAACAAGATTTTTATATTGTACTTTTTCTTTATGAGTGATGCAAAGTAAAGATCAAATCCATTAGTTGTTGTATATATATCGAACTGAGAGCGTTCTACAGTGACAAATTTTGAAGCTGTTTTTTTATTTTTACAAGGAAACTAACCTTCAGCAACTAAATAACTGATTCTTTATCTAATGTACAAAAATTTGTATCTAGTGGCAGCCGAATTTTGCTTGATAAACTCTCATATTTCAATCAAGCAAAACTATTCATGGTCCCAGTTCGTGGAATCAAGTAATATTATGAGATAATAGTGACGCAAAACTAAATCAGAAGTGAAAAAATTCTAGAATCCCAATCCAACACCAGCTCTTTCGTTAAAGAAATGTCTGCACAAAAACATTACCGATTTTCAAGTTTAATAATCCACTTTGATACTCTAGAGAATCGACTGATTCTTCGACTTGATAGAAATTCCAGAAACATCCTGTACAATGTTCCATGCTTTTATAAAAACCATAAAACCATTTACGATTTCCTATAAATTTGAAAGTATACTTAGTTTTTTAATGATATTGACGAATATATTCGTCGAAGAAAGTTTCACGATTGGACCTTCACTACTAAAGTATGATTTCTTCCGTATGAAAGAAATGCTTTAAAATAAAATTTTTCACTAATAATATCTTAAAGAGTTTACTCTTTCGAGTTGAAAAAGTAGAATCGATTGTACATCACGCATAAACATATGTTCTGATGTTCGATATTATCATCTGCTTTGGATTAACCCTTTAAGATCCAATGTCCACTGGAATGGACATTAGTAGATACTGTAGAATTAATACAGCTAGCGTTGGATCAAAAAATAGGTTATCTTCTATCGTAAGTAGACACTTTAAGCTAGCAACTGCTAATAAGAAAATTTCTTTCCAGTTGGTATAGAGAAAGGTACAAGAGTTTCAAGTTTGCTTTACGTAATTAGCTGTGAGACGTAAAGGGTTAATACCAAGGGGGGAAAAAACAACACTACACTACACTTTTTCCAACACGCTAGTGGCTTTTTTGTTAGTGGCCTTGTAGTGGCTTTGTGATGGTCACGGGGATGTAGTGGATGTGTAGTGGACAGTCCTTTGTAGTGTAGTGAAGTCTTGTTTTTTCCCCCTTGGTTAATACAGATTTTTATAATATATACAGGAACGTTTGATCAGCATTATTTTTTGTCAAAGATACCAGATTATTGTTTATCCCTTAACCAACGGTCGAAACTTCTTTGAGCCTCAAACTTTCGTTCGTTGTTGTTTTGAATTTGTTTTTGTTCTTTCTCTTTTTTTTCTTTTTGTTCTTTTTGATGGATCGCCCGAGCGATTTTGTCAGCATTTTCTTTCCAAACTTTGTAGCAATTTTCAGCCCTGAGACGTTTATCTATACATAATCTGCAATCTTTCAACTGTAGATCGAGCGAGTTTTTCGAACTTCTTATTTCTTTCTGATAATTAGTAGTCATCAATGGATATTCTTGAAAACTAACAGAGATTAGTTCGTCAGCGAGGAACGGCTTTGTTTCGATCAAAATATGTCCTTTTTTTAATTGATTTATATTCGCTTCTACCTCTTGAATTCGTTGTTTTACTATTGACAATTGTTGTTTCGTTACATATCCATCATTTGTCAATTGTGAAATTCTTTGTTGAATGTTATCAATTCGATTTTGTTGTTTAATTATAGTTTCTAAAATTTGCTTTTCAAATTTTTGACTGTACAGTTGAATTTCTTTTACTTTTCGTTTGTAAAGTTCATTGATAATATTATGACATTCATTCTTCCATTGTTCAAGAATTTCTAATGGATTTTGACTTAATTTCCAAATATTGGCATGTTGTAATTTGTTTGAAAGTTCTTGTATATTATCGGCTAATGGATATAGTTGACTAAGTAATGATATTTCAAATGTACGAAGATGGTTTTGACATACAAAGTCGGTTGTGGGTGTTCGAATGGCGATTGGGCGTTGTGAATGTTCACAAGGCGCTGTTGAAGCCATCATAATTAATTTCTAAAACATTATCAGATTTTGAGAAAATTTTCTAGACAATGTAGGTTAGATGTAACTAAAGAATGAGTAACGGTTTCGTATAAAAATCTGCTCAACAATATTTTTCAAATTTTTTCGCATAGAATCGAAGTAAAGCACAATGCAAAATTAAAGCGAAATTTTATTTTTGAACTTATTATACATCGTTGGATAGAGCATTCTGAGCTAATTAAGAAAATATATCTTTTAATTTTTGAAAACAAATTTTGAGGGTTAAAAATTGAAAATACTTGAAGGACCTAAAATGTCGAAAAATCCTCCAAGTTCAAGAAAAGCTCAATATCTGAGTTCAAGAGAACTACACTCTAAAAAAAACTATATAGTACAAACGAAAAAGGGTTTTTGACTTTGCAACTATACCAAACGCATTTCCGTTTTACATTTAGGGTGTAAACCCCCTTCCAGAAAAAAAAGAAAAGAAAGTACTATATAAGTGAAATATATTCGTCTTCTTTTCTCTCGACGACGCCATCGTTTGTTTTTATATACACACGTGTTGTAGATATCGACGTTTTTCTTATCATTGCAGAAAAAAAGGAGTGTCTGTTATACAAGGCACTTATTTCTGAAGTATGAAGACCACTTTATATTCGAACTTTTTGCAGTTTATAATCTGCTTGTAAACTTAAAGTAAAGCAAAAACTTAACTAATTTACGTAATAAGTACACAGCAGTTGTAGTGATTGAGAGAATAGGGACATATAAATCCTTTTTATTTTACTGTTGCACAGTTGGAATTTTCCTTCAGACGTGTTGGGTATATCAGAAACAAGTCTTCTTTCTCAGAAAATGTACTACATCTAGGGGCTTACGTATTTTTTTCTCAATCGATGTTCATTGTGCAAAGGTCTCGAAATAAAAATGCACAAAAGTGAGAAATGCATCAAAGGTTTATGTTTTTTATAACAATTGTGAGCAGAGTTCTTAAATGTCCACCATTGAGTGAGACAGTGCCCCATGCGCCCGTTTTGTTTCCCACTAAATATATTCCCCATGGAGACATATTTTGTATCCCACTGGCAATTTTTTTGAAGTCATGCTACTTCTGTGTCATATTTGAGAGGAAAAGTATTGATTGGCGGGTTATTACCTAATATGCAAAGATTTAGGCCCTCTGTAGCATATCTTGTCATAAAGATCATTATCATATAGGTGTTTATATATGTGAGATCATATAGGTTTATCAGATGTGTGTGATATGAATTTGTCGATAAAACCTAATTGAAAGGAAAAATCTATTGTTTGAAATTTGAAAAATTAGCTTTGGAGGAGAACTTAGAGAAGTCTACGATTGAAGCTGTTTTAGAAATTACAATCAAAATTTTTCCAAAAGTTCAAAAAGCTGTTAGCATAGTTTCTATGACAAGTAGAGAGCGTGTTCACAAATAAAATTGCTGTGTACTTTATTTTAAGCTCAACCTCGAAGGAAGTCTGAGGTGAATGGTTCACCTTAATTGCATTGTGTTCCCGAAGAGAAAGCCCGGTGGTGAAATCAGTATATCAATTACCTTAAGAAACACTTTATTTTGAGAAATCTTCTCGTATTAAAAGTTTTTCTTTTTCACTCTTTTTTTTATATAGAAATCGCTATATAAGAGTTCACCAACGTTAAGATAAATTGTTTTTTCTGTTGTTGCTTTTTACGTTCCTGTGTGGGGGAGGGCTATTCCAGCTATCTCTTTCTATACGCACATATCTGATGGTATTAGTATTAACTCTACTGATTTCTGAGAACAAGTTTAAAGTCCGTCTAACTGAGGAAATGATTCAAGGAATAGATGCATTTATCTCGACTAAGTTCGATGCTATAAAGAAGCACGATTTAATCTACTGAAGAATAACGATATTGTATGGAACCAATTCGGTTTCACACACCAATTGAAAAGCTCTATTTAATGTCGTACTATATCCTTTCACTTCTAGACAAAATAGAGATGAGGCTGATGGGTTTCACGCTCCCAAAAACGATGTATGCCCCTATAAGAAAAATTCCAGTGCGATACTGCCAGTGCACACCGGTGCGCATGGCATGCCATCGATCACTGGCACTGGCTGGCACCGGTGCGTACCAGTGCCGATATATTTCTGTCGCACTGGTAAAGATCAGTGCCGCATGGGTGCTGCACTGGCAAAAATCGGTGCCGCACTGATAATTTATTTAATCAATTTAATTAGTTCTTTATTATGGTTGTTTATGCTGAATTTTGTATCAGAGTACGGCACTGATCACTACCACATCGACATGCCAAAACCATGCGGCATTGCCTCGGCACTTCTCTTATGAGAAGGAAAAGATGAAGTCAGAAAGACATTCGAAATATTAGAAGTAGACTGTAGCGTTAATATAGACAGAAATT